GGAACAGCGGCGGGAGGAGGAGGAGCGGAGGGTAATAAGTCAGGCGTGGGGAGGGCGGGCTGGAGGGAGGCGCGCGTCCGCGGGAGCCCGAGCAGCTGTCAGACCGACGGCCCTGCCCCCGCCTCCCCTACCCCCACATTCCCCGGACCGAAAGAAGCCGGGGCGTCCCGGTCCCTTAGCCCGCGAAACCCGCGCCGCTCCGGGCCGGCGGGACGGCCTCCTCCCCGTGCACCGCATCCGCCACCGGCGCTGCTGCGCCGACCGCGCGGGCGCCGCGCCTTAGCGCTCGGCTGTCAAGCCGCCGCCGGGTGGCCCAGACCACCGCGCCTGGAGAGGAATCAAAGCTCAAGTTTCGGGTCTCAGGAAGCAGCCCGGGTACGCGCGGGTTGCAGACCCAGGTGGAATTTCCTTCTAGCCCAGGGCCGGCCGGAGCGTGGGGTAGGCGCGGTGCACCGAGCTCGGCGCCGGGAGCTCCCGGTTTCTGAGTGACAGCTCGCCCCAGCGTCCCGCGGTACCCACCCACAACCTTCACTGCGGTCTCCGAGCCCGTAGCTTCACGCGCCCCTTCGATCTCCCCCCCCCCAACCTCACACACACACACACACCACCACGGCGGGTCTTCACGAGTGGGTGTTCCGAAGCCGAGGGCCGCAGAGGGCTTGTCCCAGGTGCGATGCCCACGAGCGTACTCGCGCGAGCATCCCTGCGACCTCGGTCTGGAGCCTGGAGGAAGCGGGCAGGGCAGGGTGCGTCTGTTTGAAGGTGCGTTTGAACTCCCGGCTTTGGGGGGTCGTGGGCGCACAAGGGATCCCCAGCAAGCTCTGGCATGTAAGTATGAGAGTTTGACAACTTGGAAGAAGTTCCCGCCAGGCCACAGTCCAGGTGGTTTGGGCTGGTGACTGGAGAAGGGGCACCTGGCTGCCTGTTCCCTCAGTCACTGTCGCCGCCACCCGTGGCCACCGAGAAACGAGAGGCAGCAGGGCGCCCCCCCCAGCCAAACGGAGGCTGCAGACTGTCCGCGGGGCCCGCAGGTGGCGAGCCTCGGCGGTCCTCCGAGGCTCTCACCTTCGCCGCGGAGTGCTGCAGTCTCTCACGCGGAGTGAATTTCATCTGTTGAGTGTATTTAACTAAAAAGGGTAATTACTTTAGATTTAAAAAAAAATCCTTTCCTGCCTAGTGGGAACCTTGGCGGAGATGATGCCTAATGAGATTTTTTTTTGGGTCTTTGTCTGTTTAGAGTAAAATTAGAGATGTTAACTCTGATAACGGTTTCCTCAGATCATTACAATGTAATGTGGAGGAAAGGCTCGTGGAAGCTGCGAAGGCTCTGGCTGGCCTGACAGGAGCTGAGCTTGCAAGGCTGCCGCTTTGGTTAAGCGGGCTATTTCCGTAAGGCAGCGGGCTTCTTGCTTAAAATGTGAGATCGCCCCACCCTGGTTCTCCGGCAGCTCTCGAGTAAACGGCAGTTTTCATTATTGCAGGTAATAATAAACGTGAGTCAAAAATGACATCTTGGTGGAATTAGTCTCTAGCTTGTAAGAGAGAGTGCTAAATTACAGTGTTGCATTCAAACGGCTCCAGTGAAAAGTCTGTCACCCTTTCCATTATAAATGCAGGGTTTTTTCAGGAGTTTATAATTTCAGCACAAAACTTTGAAATGGTGACAATGTTTTCTCCTTCAAGGATTCTAGTCTTTAAAATACATTAATTGCTCATTTGGATACTATTTGCTAATCCTGAAACTTGCATTCACACGGGGGGGGGATGGGTACCCAGAGCATGCAATCATGGAATAAAATACTTTGGTTAATATTTTCATTTGGATTTTAGAAGGCTTCAGGCTTGTCATTTGGTAGTCACAAATGTGCTGAATTCTTCTAATATCTGTCTAATCTGCAGCTGGGTTGAAATGTCGGTCTGATGTGTATGCTAGGATTATGTGGAAAAATACATTTTCCTCATGCATACAAATATCTGAACTCATAGCTAAATTATAAACACCCTTGTTAGTGATTGCTCAGGTTTGTGTGGGTTTTTTTGTAGATTACATCTCAGAATCTGCCTAAAAGAAGAAGAGACAGGATGAGACAGGAAGGATGAGACAGGATGAAGGGAATGGAGATCTTCAAATTTTCATTTTCAATAGTGCCAATCCTGGGAAGAAGCCATTTATTCTCTTTCTATTGAATTATGCCCTTTGACTCAGTATCTTCAGGCAATTCCCTTCCAGCCACTCACCTCTGGCTGCTGTGTGAGAGGCTTAATTATTTGCAAACTGCCTTGAAATCCCAGGATGAAAGGCATAGAATAAGTGCAGAGTATTGTTATTCAGATATGGAATTTAATGATCCATTACAGTTCATCAGGAAAATGCACTTTGCCGTGATGGTAGGAAACGTTTCCACCTGATAGAAGGTAATAATAACTGCTTAAAAGTAGGTTCAGATTACAGATGAGACAATTAACTCTAGCCATGTGCTCTTCCAATTTGTTGCAATTCATTTTGTGATCAAAGTGAGTCTCAGTGAGCCAGATGGTCAGGTTCATGTTCAAATCTCTCCTAGGCCAGCCCTTTGCTTCTGGGCCCACCATACAGCCAATGTGACTTAGTTATTCATTAGCAACTGTGAGCTATTCTTCAGAATTTGTAATGGAGGCTTCTGTGATGCCAACAAAAGGGCTCAGACCAATCTGTATTGTTGGGAGCAGTTTAATTTTACTTGGATTAACTCTCAGTGTCTCTGGTGTGGATTTCGCTTTAACAAGGAAGAAAGAGAACCCAGTGGATCTGCTGTTTGGCTCCACTGCTATAGGATTTGAACCTCAGATCTCTAGGGATATGTCTGGCTTGATTGTTAAATGAATGAGAGAATACTTAAAGTCACCTTGCTGTTTATCTAGGAGTAAGGAGCAGGACCAGTTTCACAAGCATAGATTAAAACAATTGTACTTTGCCCCTTTCAGCTCATACCTCCTTTAACATTCTATTGTTGTTACCTTTAGATCTTTTTAAAATTCCTGAACAAGGGAGCTCTCATTTCTATTTTTATTGCACCCCACAAATTATGTATCTGGTCTTGATGATGCGGTAACTACCAAGCTATAGTATTTATTGTTGCCAACTGTTGCCAGGCAGGAATTGGTGGTAATGCTAGCTTTGTTTTTACCGCATTTTATGATTTTTTTCCCAAAAGGAACTACATACCTAGATTATTTTCCCCTGTGGAATACCTTATTTTAAAATATTAGCCCAAAATTTGTTCTTAAATGTTGGCTGACGATACATATAAAAGCTAGAGCTGGCCTGCAGATGGCCCATTTCCCACCACTGAATAGCCCAGATCATCTTATTGTTTAATATTTGTAGATTTAGCTATTTTCTAAAAGGTAGGCACCTGGTGAGTAATTTGTGAGTTTCTACCAAATGGATGGTTACAACTGTTAAGAAAATAGATTTAAGTAAAACAAAAGTCTAAACCAACACTGAGTCTTCTCAGGGATTGAAATCTTTCTCTTTAAGAGAGAATTCAACCTGAAAGGTTAAAGATTATGTACCATGAACACAGGATTACCCTTTGTGGATAAATAGTCCAGTTTTGAACCGACCCCTTCTATTTAGTTATTGACTAGTTGGGGTAACATGGATGTTTAATGTCTGAAGACTTCCATGTGAGTTTAACATTAGAGAACACATTAAAAACAACATATTCGCATTATTGAGCATTCACAATGTGTCAGATAGTGCTAACTACCCTCATAGCCAAATTAGAGGAGCCCTGTGAAGAAGGCGATTCTACAAGATGGTATGATTCTAATCAGAACTTTGTTGAATGCAATGTGTGATTTTTTTTTTTGAGTGGCTTTCCCAGGCTGGATCTATAATGTATCTCTGAGTGTGGTTAGCACATAGGGCCATAACATAGTAAAAATTTGGTCCCTGTCTTCACATCCATGGAACAGTGGCCAGTACAAAACATGATATGGTTATCAACATCTGAGGTTTAGGTACCTGACTGTCCACCTGCCTTTCCATTCCTCTGCCTGCCCCAGATTGATACTTAAGAAGCTCCTGTGGCATAGGGCCCCACTAGAGGCACTTGAAGTTCAGGAGTTAGTGCTGACTGCAAACATTGAAATTTCTTTGGCAAAACATATGAGAAGCAGAGCCATATTAAAAAAAAAAAGGCAACATCAAAGCAATGGGGAAGAGGAAAAGAGTTTTGGATGGTCGGTGACAATGTATGACAATATGTTTAATAAATATTTAAATTTTATGCAAATATTTACAAATTAGTCAAGTCAAAATTGAAACTTGCTGTGAGCTAAACATGTTGTAAACTCCATTAAGTTGCTTAAAATAGTCAAAATTGAGACTTGCTATGAACTAAATATGTTGTAATCTCCATAAGATTGCTTGAAACATAATTGACCATTTTTTTTCTTTTTGACCTGAGAGATATTTTTATAGAAAAGGTATTTGTTAACTAAAGGTTTTCCTTCAAACTTCCCCCTTTTTTCCTTTGTTAATTTTAAGTATCTACTTAGAACTTGAACTTACTCTTGTTATGAACATGCTACTCCATTAAATCAGAAGGTATCCTGATAATTTTACCACCATGTTCTTACATCAAGGACAATTTTATTTCTAAAGAATATGTAAATTGACTCTCTTTCTACTAATGGCACTATTTT